CTGACATGTTTACATGAAACATTTTTGATCTGATCAGGCCTTCAATCCGATTATTTGTGTCCATGAAAAAGTAGCCAATGAGTCAATGCAATCAACTCGTTTTCCTTAGATAGAAAACTTGGAATCAATTTGACTGGATGATCTGGTTGAACTGTAAAGTGCCTTGAGATGACTTGTGTTGTGAATTGGCGCTATATAAATAAACTGAATTGAATTGAAACTGAATATGACATTAAATACTCCAATTATAATTTGATTATTTTACTGATATTTTATTCAATGTGTGAAATGTCCCTTCCTTCTTTTTCATGAAATATGATCAAAGGACATAACAGTTCCCGTAGTTAAAGAATCACCCATATATATATATATATATATATATATATATATATAGATATATATAATTATTATAATCACTGACCAGCTTCCTGTATACTTAAGTGCTGAATCTTCAAGAGCACTAAGAGGAAATTGGAGCTTCAGTTGTTCCTTTAAACTAAGGGAAATTTCAAACTAGTGAAAGTCCACACATTGTATTACATCAAATACCGTAATAATCAGTAATAACATGGCAGTTAGTGGTAAGTCCCCAATTCCACCGGAAAATAACTCTATAAAGGGATATAATGCTACGAGGTGGTATTTAATTGTGCTTTATTCTGTTAACCACTTTAGTTTACCGGAAATAAATTGTACAGCAGCAGGATACCGCTTGCTAACTTGACCACTGCTATGCTGTGGATAAGGGAGTTTTACTGACGTTTCTAATTAGAAATCGACCTTCTCCGACCTTCCCGTGGGTAAGTCATTCCTTGGGTCAGTTGTGCTTGTGATGAGCATACACATTAAACAGTGGTACCGGGCGGGAATTGGAAGTTTAGCTTTAATAGGTAAGCTAGGTAAGGTAGCTAGCCTACAGTGCAGGTGGGTTAGCTCCGTGGGCTGTTGTGGTGCCACAGAAAATGAACTCCTGGTCCGTGTTTATTGCTTTGATGTATGGAGGCAAACACGCGGTATCTAATCATGAGGACTCGATCCGGACAAAGGTCTTGATGTAAGGCTTAAAACTCAGCGGTCATTGTTCTGAGCTGCTGACAGAGCTAGCATAGCTACTCCGGTGGGTTAGCTATGATGATGATGATGATGAGGAGGAGCCCTTCACACATGGATGATTATTTAACCAGCTCACTGATTATTTATTAGTCAAAAACTCATCGGCTGGTTTGCGAAACTGAACGGATCACTTCAGTTATTTCATTAGAAGAACCTCTCCGACAATCGGCTTTTGTGCTTCAGCAGCCCTGTCAAAAATATTTCATGTGGTCTAAAATTAACATCATATTTAACTTAGCATAAAACCTTTGGATTTTTATCGAAAACCAAAACATCTAACACGGAAAAACCGCGCATAAAAGGGCCACGCTATCTGTAGAAATAAAGTACAGTCGGAAGGAAAACAACAAAGAAGATGGTGGCAGCTTCATGCTCTGGAGTTTCTTCAGATGCTGCTGGAGGGGTTTATCTGTGGAAATGTTTATGAAGTGTTCCAAGTTGCTGTCAGTCAGAACATTTCTTTTGCCCTTTATTCAGGGATTGAAATCAGGGGCGGATTTAGGAAATTTGGGGCCCTAGGCAAAGACAGGCAAGAGGCCCGCTGAATGGAGAAGACAACACATAAAACAGACCCATCACACAGAACTGCAGTAAAGTTGGCAACATATTCACAGATTCGGCTTTTCCGCATTAATAACTCGTCCGCGAATGATTTATTCTACAAAACAGACACCTCTCCGCAACCACAGCAAGCCAGACAGTGAGCTACAACCAAACTTTCCTCAAAACGAGTCTCCTATCGCACTGGGAGGATTATATTGAACCCTATGCAGAGCTCGCTGCTCCGCGAATCATTAGGGGCCGTCTGCAAGTTACAACACCGTAGAAATAATCAGAGAGAAATAATTAAAAGCATCATCAAGGAGAGGTGAATTATTGTCAAATTCATTTCATGTGTATCTTATCTCATGTCTTACATACCACATTTATTGGATTTGAAAATAATATATTTTTTAGGACTTTTCCAAAGCCTAAATGACAAATGGAACCTCTATGTTATTATTAAAATAAGTATAAAATGTGCAATAACTACACTATAGATCACTGTAGTGCCACCAAACTTGTAGCACACATAGATAACTTCATCTGGATCATACTACAGCTCTTACTTTTGGAATATGTGCTAAACTCTATTTTTAGAGATTTTTTTCTTTGTTATTATAAGCATATATTTATCAATAAGCACTTTTATGAACTGCAGCCACACCAAAATCACTGTGCACATCATTCACACTCTCCTGGTGATAATACAACTATTATTATATAAATTAAATACCTTTTTCATATTTTATGAATAATTATTATTTTGAAAAAGTAATCAATAACTATACTCTTATGTACTCTAGCCTCACCAAAACCACTGTAAACCTCATTAATAAATACTCAAGACCCGTTTCTTTTGCACTATTCATTTATTTATAAATATTTCAGTTCTTTTACTTTATTCAGAACTTATTAAAATTTTGTTTCATAGTTCAGAATTATTATCATATGACCACTAAGTTTGGGTGACTGGATTTCACTGAACAGTTTTTTTTTTGTCTGTCTGTTTTGTATTCATGTTTCTTAGAATAATCACTGCGTGTTTTTGTTTAATGTTGAATAAATGAAAAAAAAAGGTTTGATGGTCCATTTGATATATGTATCCCACAAAACGTAGAATGTCTTTAGTTGCAGGACTTGTTAATGTTTTTTTCAGTGAGAAAGATAGATATATCGTTGGACTCTTTATATAAAGAGCAAATAATGTAAGTATATTCCATTGTTTTGAACATTCAAAGTATCACCAGTAGGGTGTGAACTATGTGTACAGTGATTTTAGTGATGGTACAGTACATAATGGTAGAGTTATTGATTATTTATCCCAATAAAAAATCTCTAAAAATAGCTCATATAAATATAAATTATTATTTAATTGATATAATAATAGTTATTATCAGGAGAGTGTGAATGATGTGCATAGTGATTTGAGTGTGGCTGCAGTTCATAATAAATATATGCTTATAATAACAAAGAAAAAATCTCTAAAAATAGTACATATTCCAAAAGTAAGAGTTGTACTGTAGTATGTTTCAGATGAAGTTATCTATGTGTGCTACAAGTTTGGTGGCACTACAGTGATCTATAGTGTAGTTATTGCACATTTTATACTTATTTTAATAATAACATAGAGGTTCCATTTGTCATTTAGGCTTTGGAAAAGTCCTAAAAAATATATTATTTTCAAATCCAATAAATGTGGTATGTAAGACATGAGATAAGATACACATGGAATGAATTTGACAATAACCCACCTCTCCTTGTTGACGCTTTTGAATATTTCTCTCTGATTATTTCTACGGTGTTGTAACTTGCAGACGGCCCCTAATGATTCGCGGAGCAGCGAGCTCTGCATAGGGTCCAATATAATCCTCCCAGTGCGATAGGAGACTCATTTTGAGGAAAGTTTGGTTGTAGCTCACTGTCTGGCTTGCTGTGGTTGCGGAGAGGTGTCTGTTTTGTAGAATAAATCATCTGTGGACGAGTTATTAATGCGGAAAAGGCGAATCTGTGAATATGTTGCCAACTTTACTGCAGTTTATACAGATAGAGAAATGTTTATAAAATAGACATCCATTATCTGTTCTAGGTGTTGTTCCTTTCTTTGTTGTTTTCCTCCCTATGTTTTGTACTCAGCTGACTTTTTATGCTGTCTCTAAAGGAATGAAAGATTTTTTCCAAGCACTAAGCTCACTTAGCTGATTGCTCCTTCCTGTGTTTCCAAAAAGGCCAAAGTAAATAACCCAGTCCTTCTTTTCACTGTAGACAAGCCATAATCTGCATAGCGAAATAATTTTTACGAAAAACATAATTAATGTGCACAAATAAGAAATAGTTGTAAACAGAGTTTTATGGCAACTGCCTAATGGTAAATCCCTCCCCCCCTTGGAATGTTTGATGGTCTCTTTGATGTTATTATTTAGCTAATATTAAAGGATTTTTGAAAATTTTTCCTTTTCTGTTCTTAAACACACCATCACACCATGTTGTTTTAACAGAGATGTTCTTCCTTTTCTATCGACTGTATAAGAGAAAAGTTAATGTTGTCTTTGCAATCCAGCAGACTGTAGCTCCCCTTCATCACAACTAGGGGCAGCATTGCAGAGACCACACAACAGCTTGACACATCAGGACTGGGTTCAGAGGATGTCTTCGCCAGTATACTACAACCATGACAGCGCCATCCGCTTCAAGAAGAGGAAAGCTCGTTTCTCTTTCAGTGAGGTCCACGTGCTGCTTGATGAAGTCAGGAAGAATCGTTCGGTTGTCGTGGGTACGTGTTTGCTAGCCAGCCACCTTTAGGCCTTCTCCTTTCGATGCATAGTGTGTGTCCTGAATACTAAGGCTGAAACAACCTTTTTTTGTTGTTTTTAAGGCAAATTCAACCGAGGAGTACCAACGGACACAAAGAAGCGTACATGGGCAGAGATAACGGCACGTGTCAACGAGATCGGGGAGTGCCAACGTGAGGTCATAGAGGTCATCAAGAAATGGTCTGACCTAAAGTGTGACACCAAACGTAAAGTTGTTGCTATGCGGTCAGGGACTGTACCAAACAGGGGGCTAAATTCACGCCTCTCCAGAGACCTCAGTCAGACAGAGAAGATCGTCCTTCAGATTCTTGAGATGGATGAGGACGACCAGAGCACTGGAGAATGTGGTCTGCTGGGAGATGATGATGATAATCCTGAAGAAGAGGAGATGGAAGAGGAGGATATGATGGGCATGCAGAGTTCTCCTAACGGCAGGGTGGACTTGGCATCCATGCGCCCCCCACCTTCCTACGGTATGAATGTCCTCATTATACAGAAAACAGAAATAAAAATGGTTTCATGGCTTCATCAATTTTGTTTAAACGTTTTGGCAGAGATTTTAAATAAAGATGAATCTATGATTTACTGTAGATCACAGGTGTCAAAGTCGTTCCAGAAAGGGCCGTGTGGCTGCTGGTTTTCTTTCCACCCAAGCAGTAGCACACCAGACTCCATTCATCTCATCAAGGTGAGTCTAGTCTTAACCTGATGACTAGACTCACCTTGATGGGATGAATGGAGTCTGGTGTGCTACTGCTTGGGTGGAAAGAAAACCAGCAGCCACACGGCCCTTTCTGGAACGACTTTGACACCTGTGCTGTAGATCAATGAAAGCATCAGAGAAAAGTTTCG